ACGGTAAGATGGGAAGAGAGTTTCTCTAGGTTACAACAGCAGTAATATGACTCTGAATTAAGCTCTTCTGAGATAGAATTCAGGTCCACCTAATGGAGCTGTGTGGAAAACTTGTGAAAGTCTTGTTTAGTTCCTTCACTGGACAGGGAACCAGACATGAGAAGACAGTACAGCAATGCACAGTTGACGACAGAACCAGCAGATTACAGCCAACGTGGCAAGGGACAAAATGTGAGGAGAGCTAACAAAATGCAAGGCAAAACACTGAAACCATTTAGAGCTCTCTTTAGCATTAATGAGGTTTGCAAAAGGAGCTGAGAGCCTATGGCCCACATCAGCCATTAAGCTCTTATTACTCACCTGCTTTCATTAGTAGAGCCTGCTCAAATAGGCAGGGCCTGCCACATGTGTATCACCCAACATTTTGCCAGGGCACACAATTCTGGATCAAATGTTTCTATTCTTCAGTAGTTTCTATCCTACAGAGATTTCCTTTTAGGCTTCCAGGGTTAAAATAACTTCATACTAAAAGTAACCTCCTGAACTAAGAAAAGGAAGAGTCACTACCCGCAAATGTCAGGTTCTGGGGGGAAAAAAAAACCAACACAAAACAAAACAAACAAAAAAAAAACAACACCCCCCCCCCCCCCAAAAAAAAACAACCAACCAACCAACCACCCACCCACCCAAACAAACTAACGGGTTCCTTGGGTACCTCAAACATGAAAGTATCCACTTCCTCACGAATGTCCCTGTAGCTCAATTTGTTCCCTTCATCATCTGTCGCACTCAGCAGCATGTCCAGGAAAGCTTTTCTCTTTTTGGAGCCGCTTTCTTCACAGTTCCCATCAGTATCACATTTTGTTTGCTTGGTGTTTTCAAGTTCTGCAACTTTTTCTGCAATGATCTGAAATTAGAGCCATTACATTAGATATGATGCACACAGCACATGCGCACAGTCTATGTCACACAGGTTTGTCCCAACTTATTAAAACAACAACATCCGTCTGTAGCAGTCTACGTGAGCTAGTTATTATAGCTGTCAGCATTAGCTCATGAACTTTAACTGATTTTTTGTGTTAGTAGGTGAAATATGACCAACCCCTCTTGTCCCAAGCAATAGAATGAACCTTGAATAACCTTTGTGTAATCAAGAAAATACACAGCCAAACTATGCAAACAACTTGTTGATCATCAAGAAGCGTAAACACATCCAGTATATCTGAAATAAGCCGATCATGAATGCCAATAGCGACAGCAAATCAAAACGCATCACCACAATTTGAACAGACTGATGACCAAGAAGATATTCTCTACCCTATCCAATAACTAAGGAAAGGATCACATCTCCAACCTCTGGGGAACCCAGGAGATTGAAGAGAAGCCAGGGCACCCCACAACCCTGGATCAGGAGTACACATAGCACGGCTGGAACCACTACACTAAAGCTTCCCAAATTTTCTTCAGTATGAGAGCAATGGTTGAACTTCCTTTTTTTAGGTCAAAGCACAGCCCCAGTGACAGACAGAGATTCCTTGCTGTCACGACCATTGTTGTAACGGCAAAACAGAACCCTTCAATAAACCAGTATTGCTCTCAACAACAACAAAATAATTAAAAATAAAGGCTGTAGAGTATGCAATTCTGTTCAGAGGAAGCACTGAACAGAAAAAAAAAATACAGTTGTATACACACACATTGTTTCCCTCACTGAACAGACACATATTGAACCTTTTGTCTCAATGCTTTCTGTCAGCACCTACACTAAGTGATATTATTATTTACTGTTCCTTTGTCATCTTCTAAGATTTGTCTTCTTATATTCAGTGCACCAGCCCAGCATGGGAAGAGAGCAAGTGTTACCTTAGATCTCTAAGATCCTCTCTCATGCCTCAGTGCTGCAATTCCCAATAAAAGGAAGCAAAACATTAACTACTTAAAACCAATACAGAGTCAATGGGGCTCATTATATGTACTGAAAGTTCAGAGATTATTTCTTTTGTTGTGGGCATTGATACAATGACATCGTGGGGTACATACATCTATTTCAGGGAAAGCAGCCTCTCTGGTAACATCCTAACAGTAGATTTGGGAGGGCAACCATTGGCAAGAATAGCATGGGAAATATTTGGTGAGAGAAAGGGGTGTTACTTGCACAGTCTAACATGGTGAGAGAACACTGCGTTTTATGCCAAGTCAGTGATGTACGCTTAATGGTTTCTGTGTCAAAGTGTCTTACTGCTGATGTGAGGACCTGCATGTGTTTGCTCATCTCAGCAGTTCTGCTCTGAATAGGGGAAAATGAATACGGGCTTCAATTTCTGAGGGCTGGACCAAGTGGCATTACCAAGCAGAGCCCTATGCTTATTGCTACAAACTTGGCAGTGAGCTGTTGCAGGTGATTCAGATGTGGGGCATCTGGGGCAGAAGAAGAGTTTAATGAATTCCTGTTGTTTGTTTCGGTTGTCAAGGACCTGTAAGTCCTGCTACTCCCTTGGAGTGATATACTCCCTTGCTTAAATACGATAGAGCTCCTAACAGGGAAGTCAGCTGTGTTCTTCTTTTCAAGGAATTCTTCGGCACCCCAACAGAGAGATAGTTCTCCTCTTAATAGATGCATATCAAGGGGCTGAACCTCACACCCATTTGGAAGCTCTCTGCTGAGTGCAAGACTTTGCTCCAACAATTAAAAGGTACCATTAAAAAAAAAAAAAGAATCTATACTGTATCCGTAAAATTGTGAAGGATCTTGAGGTTCTTCTCATGCTCTCTTCCTTCCTTGAACAGCATATATACAAGATCAGACCAAAGCCAAGGGCTCTTCTGTCGCTGTTGGATTAGATCGCTCATCCTAGGGGCACAACAGTTACATCATGTAACATTTCTTGACAAAAAAACAAATTTACAGCACACTTTCAAGAACCAAAAGAAAAGGTTCTACCTCCCCCAGTGAAGTGGAACTTAACATATCATGTGGGTTTAAACCCATTCATCTGAAGGGAAGGCTGTTCATATTTGTTTTCTGATTTCAAACCATCTCAAAATTTCTGTCACCTATCCCAGCATCACCATGATTTATATCTTTAAGCATTGATCTCTGAGAAGGAGAGCATATTCTCATTTAGTTGGAATCCTCTTGAAACAGACATAGTAAGTCATCCAGTCCAGTCCCACTCCACATCAGTAAAGCATTGACCATGCTGAAAAGACATGTACATCCTGAAAAGACTACTCATGCCACGGTTCCAAAATATCTGCCCTGAGACCTCAAACAGCCATCTGAAAGCATTACATTCCTACTTGACTGTCCAGATACCATATATGCCAGACAGCACATGAAAAGTATTTAAAATAAAGAATATAAGACTTCAAGTATGCTCAAACACAACTGGAGTACATTTGGAAGGGCTGATTGTCATTGCTACTCAGCTCTTGCGCATGCTTTTGGCTGCAAAAAGAGACTTTGAGGAGTAATTATTACATTTAGGCCACCTTCGGGCCCACTTGCGGTACAATTTGGGAAAGGCCAAGGAACGATGACAATCAAACCTTCTAATTCCACCCCTTTTTTGTAACACACCTGTTTCAACAAGCCCCGTCAAAGGCTAGGGGTGAGATGCCACAAGCAGCTACATCTCATCTAGGCTGACACACCAGTGTGGTAGGAATATAGACCATGCTTTTCCTAATCCACTGGACAGTCACGTACAGTTTGAATGGTGTAAATACTGACATGAACTGCAGAGCAGCAGTGCCTCAGCTTTAACATGCTGTCTAAACCAGCATCCTCCCAATTCTGCCAATCGTGCTGATATGAAATGTTGCAGCTCCATTTTTTTTTAACCTCCTGTATCGATGGATTAACTGAATAGCTGCTGACACCTCTTCAAAGCCTCAGCCTCCCATTGCATATGCTCACACCAGAAAATGCATCAAAATCTGTAGGAGTTTTTCCTGCCTTCCTGGCTTTCTCCCTCCATCCGTGACTCCCCAGCCCTGCCTCCCGGCTCACAGCAGATGAGCTCCTGACACCAGCAGCATCAGCTCCAGCCCAACTACAAAGTAGTCAAGGAAAATGTCCATTTACCTGTAGATAGCACGAACATACTCAGAATCCTTATTCTCCTGAGCACCCACATTCTTGCCCATTGCTGTTTCTAGGAGGAGGAAATCATCAACGGTTCATGAGTGCAAAGTGAAATGCAGAGTCGCTGTACACAATAAGTTACTACTGCTCTTAGCTTCTGACTGTCACCACACCATCCTTTCAACAGGTGGATACACACATCCCCTTCCAGGTGGTGAGCTCGCTTTACATTTCCATGCCCAGGAACTTTGCTCCTCAACACAACCTCACTTCGGACTGCTACCTCTGCCCTGCCCTGCTCAGATGCACACAAGACACCCTAGGAGAAGGGATGGCCTTGGGAGGATGGAAATGCATTCACACAATATGCAGGGACATTCCTCTTCAACTGTCTCCTCACACAACGTGGCACAGCTGTACTCATGAGCCTCTGCGTCATTCGCAGCCCCGCCACAATAACTGAAGAGGACTTACCACAGATGATATCAAGGGCACACAGAGTGATGTCCAGAAAGACATCAAATGGTTCCTTGTCAACATGCTTCTCAAGTTTCTCCAACAAAATACCTCCTTGTTCATTCATAACCTCTAGAAAGTCAGTTAAGATTGCAAAGTGGAACGTGGGAGTTATCATCTTCCTCCGCGACCGCCACTTGTCTCCGGTGCTGCAAAATTAACAGGAAGAAGGAAATGTTAAAAACTCCAAGTCAAAAATAAAACCCTCACCATCACAGGAAGTACACACTAAAAACTGCAGCCTGGAACACCTTCACAGATGGTCACGCTGTAGAAGACTTTTTAAGCTGTCCATAGCACTCCCCAGGAGCAAAATGGAAATATTTCCTGCTCCAGCTCTCTCCGAAGCACAAGCCACCATTTCTATAGCTGCTCTCAACAAAAGAAGATGCCAACAAGGCTTCAGGCGATACAGCCTCAGTGCACAGGCTCAGAGGGATCGAGCAGAAGCCATCTATAGGACAAACCAGCTATTCAGCATCAAGGCCTCAACTCATGGCACTGTCTCTGTGAATCACCACCCGTGCTTGACTTCATCCACTGACTAGGAAATGAGGATTGCAGAGAACTAGGGTCCACAGACATTATGCAAATGACTGCCTCAACGTCTGGCTACAAAGTACTTCCTTGGAGACAGGCAACCACTTCCCACACATCAGTGAAAGAGCACGGAGCCACAGCGGGTGACACCAGCTTGCTGGGAGTTCTTGTTCACTTTTTCTGAATCACATGCCCCACAGGCACACAACTGGCAGCTCTGCTTACAGGGTAAACCATCGCACCACTTCTCCTGTTAACTTGTTTTTGGGGCACTCCTCAGGCCAGCTTATCCGCTTGCTGTCTACCACTACTGCCCTTAATCATCAGAGACTGGAATATTCTCCTCCATTATGTTTTTGCAAGCACAAGGAAGTCAAATCACCTCAAAGTCTTCTGGAGGCAAAACAAACAGTAAGGAAGAAGACTAACAGTGAGGATACACCATGCCCGATGCCCATGGACCTTAAAGTCTCTGCACTTTGCTACTGGTTACTGCCTTCTTAAGGGCCATGAACAAAACTCAGGATAAAAGCCATTCCTCATCCTCTCACATAAACTTACGCCTCCCACACAACGTGATCACATCTGGCTTTTACGACATCATGGTCCCATCACAAAGCACGAGGAGTTCACCTCTGAGGGCTCCAAACAAGCAACAAAGCTCCACTGCTAACAGGGGCTTGACCTTCTCCCAAAAACACGAAAAGGCACAAAGGCGCCAGAGCCACCCTACACTCACCTTGCTCTGACTCTTGAATATCTGCATCATCCAGACCAAACCTTCCTTGACCCTCCCAAGACCGGAGGACACCAAACCCTTACATCACTGCTCCTCCCTCCCTCCACTCCTGACTTGCACTCTTACCCAGGCTCACCTCTTATGAGCCTCCACTTCATGAGGGAAATGAAGGACAGGGTGCAGATACTCTCCCATCCTACCCCAAAGCATCACCAACCTCAGGCCCATCCTACTGGTTTGCCAGCGGAGATAAGCAATGCACACAGTCGCAGTTCTGCCACAGTCCAACCACTTGACGCACATCACAACATTCAAAATAGCCAGCGTGTAGCATTGCAGACTAAATGACACCACTTGCCATAGGATACAACTTCCCAAAACTCAGACTCATTTCAAGCCTCTGGACAAAAAAGTAACAATGGCCAAATTTGCCAAGAAAAAGATAATGCCAAAAGATTTTTATCGGACATTAGCTGCTAAAGAGCAACCAAGACCATCACAAGGAATAAGACTTCTATAGCTATCATCTGTCCAGAGATACACACAGCACTTCCTATCATATACCCTGTGAATTTCAAAAAGACAGCAATGCACCTGCATTTCACTATACCTTGTCAGAAGTCCAGTGCCCAGCCACGGCTGCAGGAATTTGTACAGGTATGATTTTTCTATATGTTTCGAACTGCTCAGAATAACCTGTCAGAAAAATGAATGGAGAGGAAAAAACATCACTTGTTAGATGGAGAGAGATTTCTTCAGCTGAGATTACTTTACACAACCTCAGTTCCTCCACAAAAATGCCACGAGCCTCAGTAAAATGCACAATATTTCAGTATAAGCTGGTACACAGGGGGAACATTGAATTCACACCCTCAAGTTTTTCAGTAAATATCCCAACCCTGAGAAACAATGAAATACTTAAAAACTACCACTCCCACTCCCCTTATCTTCCTGAAAAAGAAAAATATGTCTTACAAAGTCACAGGCAGAGCTCAGGGAAACCCAACGGTTTCCAGCCTTAACCAAATTCTTCAATAAACACTCCAACAAAGAAACAACTCTATCTTCCCGGTTCAGGGACAATCATTGTCTGTAGCAAAACTAATGACTACATTTCATGGCATCAAGACAGACCCACCGAGTTCTAACACTGAAGTCAGTCAAACAGACACAAGCATTGCAACCCACACTTCGTAATGTTCTACCCCTATTTCAGTGGTCCCATCTTCCCTGCTATCTTCTTGTCCATTCTGATCTTGGGAGCAGAAGCTTTCACACATGTGAAAACAAAGCTAAAGGAGATGCTTCTTTGTATAAAACATACTGAGTCGCTGCTGTCATTTGTCGCTGGCCATCTTCAGTATTTTTTTTTTTCCAAGACTAGGCTTTTTATATTCTTCCACTTCCAGCCTTTCTTTAGCACTGGGCCAGAGGACAATCTCAAGTAAAATCAGCCCAAGCCCTTTTTTGCAAAAATTACACTGAGAGAATAATAACTAACAGGTTGGACACTGCTTTGCATGACAGTGAAATAGACAAGGACACTCACCTCCACACTGTCAGGGTGATACAAAATCACAACAGGCAATGGTCCCATCCAAAGTTTGAACAACGGCCAACTCCTGAACTCTTCAACGTAAGATTGCAATTGTTTAAAAAAAACTGGAATGAAAAAAGCAGATCAGAATTTTTAAAAAGGGGGGTTTTGCTGAATAAGCAAGACTTCGGTAACGAACTGTTTTTTCACCAGATGCCCTGTAATTATGTTTTTGTTGTAGTTTTATATTGCTACTATGACTAAGCAGCATATTTTGCACCTATCTGTTAGCTGTACTGCAGGAGCATTTCTTTATGGCTACACTCTTGAAGGCACTCTAGAATAGAGAAACCCCTCCTAGCTGTAGATAAGGCAGTTTGATTTAAGCAGTCTCAAAGCACTGCAGCATGGGCAGTATTGCAATGCTCTTTGTAACAATTACAGCCAAATCAAACTTTATCAAGGCTATGCTTACATTTTGGCTTATCTGACACTAGCCAAAATGCTCTATCAAGATGCTTCTTTACTTTTCAAGTACAGCATCAAGCCTTTTCCCATCTGAGACCTCACTGACAGGTACTAAATTTGTGGTGCACACACAAGTGATGCTGTGCACAGTAATGGCAGAGCACTGCGCAGGAACCAGTATCACCTGAAATGTCTAATTTCTGATAGCTGGACTCCTGAAGAAAACCTTTGGAGCCCTTACTTGTTTGTCTGCAAACAAATTACTTCTTACTCCAACATGCTTAAATCATCTCACTCTCTTGCAGCCCTAACCATTAGTGATGGTTTGCAATTCTAGCAGGGGCTTTTGACAGCTGGCTGCTCCAGGATTAAAGTCCACTCTTGTCCTTTTAGAAACCTTACTGAAGGGTAAGTGACCACTTATGGGGCCACTGTGGATTTAGCAACTCAGATGTCCCCATCTCTAAGGGCACAAAGACTCATAGGATCATTCATGCCACAGACCACCTGAGAGATACCACTATTGTCCAGCTGCCAGTTGGACTTCATACCAGTGAGCTCAGCAATCCAGCCAATTCTCCACCCACATTATTATCCACTCATCCAGTCCACATCTTATCTGTTTAGCTATACAGAAAGCATGGGAGATGGTATCAAAGACCTTGCTGAATCAAATTAAACGCCATCTACTGCTCTTCCCTTGCTCACAGATCCAGCTATCTCGTCACAGAGGGCAATCAGGTTAATTCTGCAATTCTAGAGTAGGTGGCCGCTATCAGGATGTTCAAGGATTAAACATGCCTTTGCCCTTTCAGAAACCAGATTAAACAATAAATTACTCCCTCCAAGGCCTCTGCAGAGTTGAAAATTCAAAGGTCCCCAAATCAAAGGAAAAAAAAAAAAGAAAAAAAAACTAGTTTCCAAATAGACACCCAAACACAGCATTCCCTAGTCTTGGGCAAAGTTCTAATGACACCTCGTCCAAAAGGCTTAAGAATGACACCTCGTCCAAAAGGCTTAAGAATGACACCTCGTCCAAAAGGCTTAAGAGTATCAGATTATTTTGCTCTTTTTTAATATTTTTTCCTAACATCACCATGATTAAAATATCACAATTTTCCAGCATTTGCCTATTGATATCAATAAATAAAATCACCATCAGATGAAAAGTCATTTTTCTTTCTGCTATAAAACCTTATCCTCTTTTCTAAAAACTATCTTTTTTTTTTTGTCACATTTTTAATGAAAAAGATTATAAACCACAAACTTCACTCATTTTTACATAAGATAAACAAGAACAAAGGCAGATGGTCAGGGACTTAACTAAAGCACGGAGGCTATCTGATTCCTGCTAACAAAGGAGATTAGAGACTCCATAGAACATAAGAGTATCCATCAAACTGCTTTCTGGAGAGAAAAACAATGTTCTTGTTTTGTTTTTTAAGCAGATTTAAAAAGAAGAAATAAAAAAAAGAAAAAAAAGATTTGTCTCTCAGTCAGGCTCATATATACATCCTGACTATGATCCTGCTACTGCTTCCCCAAGTCAACTTCAGGGAAAGCTGCTTGTCCTCGCTTCCACCAAAGAAAGATCTCTCATATCTGTATTTAGATACGGGGTGGGATCCAGAGGAAAAACACGAGCAGGTACCCTTGTGAACAGAGGGACCATGTCTCAGCATATGTCAGCACTGGACAATGTGCGCGCCCATGCTGTACTCGTCCTTGGCTTCACCACGCTCCCATGACCCAGTCGCTCTCTCTTCTGGCAGCATAACTGGCAGGAACGCATCTGCACAGAGCAGACTGGCATACACAGGCATCAAAAACACACCAAGAAGAGTCTGCTGGTCCACTGACAGCACAGCCAGAGCTGCTTTAACACCACAGACTCCTCGAGAAACATGCTCCTGTGCAAAACCAAGTAGCAAACAGAAAGGGAACGTGTAGCACATTAATGCTCTCCCAAGCACCTGGCAAAAAGAAGGTACCATTGATCAATGCGAGAACAGAAAGGTTCGCTTTTGAGGGATGTACTGAAAATACTCAGCAAGTTCTTTTGCATCTAACGCATAAACCTAAGGCACAGCTAATTCTGAAAACGACCCAGCAACTCAGCATGCTAAAGTCCCTTGCACATGCTCACTTCGGGGGAGATAATTGTTTAAAGAAGTATTTTTCCTTCGCAAGCTACAAGCTTTGTTTGGATCAGAGCTAATAGCCATGGAGACAGAGTGCTCTGCGTTGTGGAACAGCACTTCCTGTGAGAGCACCCAGCACGCCTCCCTGTCACAAAAACACATTCCACAGTATTCATGCTCCACCTCACCAAAAACTGGAAACGGGTCTGAGTCCAGCATCAGCACCTGGAAGCCACTGTCAGAGTGAACCTCCAGCTAATCTTTGGCTGATAATAATCCCATATTTATGCAGTTGTTCTCCTTTCCCCTCCACTTCCCACTTCTCACACAGTTCCCCTCTGCAGGTTGCCCACAGAGCCAGAGAGACCTAAAAGTGATGGCACACCCCACAGCCCCCCCCTGCCAGACACAGCTCGACCACCCAAGCACCTCGCCAGCGCTGGCTTCTCCAACAAAGCCCCACGCAGTGCAGGGACTTCACAGCTGGACTACGGTGTGAGCTGCCCTTACCTTCTCCCTCCCGCTCCAAGAGTGGAGCATTTCCCAGCACAGGATAGCACGGGCTGATTCCTGGGATCGGCTTCATCACCCACCATCGCCTCCAGTAATCCATCAGGGAGGGCAGGGAGCACACGGCCACAACCGTCAAGAGCAGAGCGGTGACCCCAGCCCCCAAGTGCAGCAGCTGGGGTCCCCCTGCGGCTTCCTGCACGACCTCCATCGCCACCTCCCAGCCTCCTGCTCCGAGCCTTGATCCCTACTGGGGAACTGACACTGCCTGTACCTAGCTCTGCCTGTACTGCAGCAGCGGAGTGTGCCAGGAACCAGGCACAAAAGCAGGAGGCGGAGCTGTCACACGAGCCCCAAAGTGCAGCTTCCTGCCAGGAAAATAAACAAAGATATAAAAAACACACACACGGAGAGGCTGTCCGCAAGCACTTTGTGACGGCAGAGCAGCCACAGGGAACGGTGCATTTCCTTGCCCTCGCTTGGCTCCTCTGACTCAAGTGAAGATTGAAGAAGTCCTTCCGTGCAATACCTCAGAAGGAAAACACACAAACCGCTGTCAAGAGAAAAACCACCTTTTTGCTGATTTGGGGAGGATGGATTTTCTCAACACCACCTTTCTCCGTTTGTTTTCACGTGCTCAGGGAACACCATTTTGCCATACAGAACTGCTCCAGTGCTCTCCAACATGATGCCTAAAGGGTTTCAAGTGCTTCAGATGGGGAGCACCTTTCTTAAGTTGGGTTAATGGCTCAAAGGGGTTACACAAACCAGAGCCCATACAGACCCACTATCAAGAAGGGCACTGCAAAGCACACTGATGCTTCTCTGCTCAAATGACCTTAGCTGATCTCACTGTTCAATGCTCAGTCACAGGCTAAAGGGCGCCAGTAACACGACTGGCAGCACTAGCACCTGTGTCACAACTTGCAAAGTGTTTGGGTAGAAGTGGTGGCACACCCACCACAAACCCTGCTGCCCTTCCTGCCTCAGGAGGAGCCAGGGTCTCTTCTCACTGCTGCAGGGCTGCTGAGCACCTGTTCCTCAAAGCCTCCAATGCTCAGAAACCTTGTGGTCAAACAGAAGTTCAGTGAAATGGCAGCATGGCTTACACCCCATTTGCAAAAATTCACCCCCTGAATATACCATAAAAGCTTCTCATAGCCACGGTCATGTTTCTCCTGTCTGTTTTGTACCAAAATTGACTCCACTGACTGCACCAAGCATTTTCAGTAAGCCAACAAACAGCATAAACAAAGCAACTAAGAAAAGAAACACAAATAGAGAAAGCTCAGAACATCAGAAGCTAAAGAAGGGCTGATGACCCTTGGCAGCAGAGGGGAGTAAATGCTGGCACTTTGTTCCTGCATTCTCCCAGCAAACACTTTATCATAAACATCGACTGTTGCATTCTTCTGCACAGTAAACAGCTGGAAATGAATTTTGCTACTCTTCCTGTTACTTGTAATGGCTTGTAACAGAAAGTAGCAGATACATACCCTCTCCTGCAAACGCATAAGGCAAGCTACATAGCCATCAGTCCTCTCTTTTGTTCCTTACGTCCCAGGAAGGAAGCGAGCATGCAGGACTAAGAGGTTCACCTTTTGTCTTTGTAACATGGAGATCAGCTGGGTAATTATACTCTCTTCTTTTTAAAAAAACTTGCAGTTTGTTGCCTTCACAGAGCTGATAATTAGATGAAGTGGTTAATTGCAATTCTGAGTCAAAATCTGTGTTTCTAACTGCTGATAACTCCTTCTACAGGAAAAAAAAATGAAAAACAGTGAAACAGCAGGGACAGGGTGAAAAGCCACAGGGAAAGCAGCAGGGAACACAGCAGAACAAACATTGCAAAATCCTGCCAGCAGCTGGCAATGGTGATGCTGCTACTAACAAAAGGCAGCAGCTACACTGGAAGGAGATGTAAAAGATATATCCAAAAAATAAGAAATGAGGCCTGGCATCTCTGAGGCCTAATTATGTTACCGAGATCATTACGAACCTTTACTAAAAGGTTCAGAGGAGGATGTTCTGTAGGAGAGGCACACATCTATCAATAGAGTTCTCTACCAGATTGCATTTAGCATTCCTTTTTCACCTGGAGAGCTATTTGCTCAGTGTTGGGTTTCAGCAGGCACTCTACTGGTTAGTGAATATTTGCTTTCATAATGCAGTGCAAATCTGCTTTTGCTCAGCCTCGCACCTAAGTGGAAGCCCATCTGCCTGTGCTGACAGAAGGCACGCACCCTGTCAGGCAGCTATGTCAGCCCACAAGCACGATGGTAACGCAGGCTTCTGCTGGTCCCTTGAACGCAGGTCTGGATTCCTCAATAAGGAAATGGATAAAATCATCATTACCAGCAAGAAAAACAAAAACCCAAAGCAAAGCAAGGCTAAAATGGATCCAATTTGACAGAAGGACAACAGAGAAGTACACAACACATTCTGAAAAACTGTGGTGTGCTCCTTACATTAAGTCCTTTGCTCCAGCCAAGACATACCTGACGTTTTTGCCATCTCTTGCAAAGCACACATAGTAAGCAAGACTAACCAGTTGCTAACTTAGCAATCACTAAAATTCATTTGCAATTAGGAAGGGCTTTTCTTAGAAAGAGCTTCCCTCTTTCTCAACATACATGATTACAACATGATTAAACTTTATGTAGAAAGTTACTTGCACTGCAAAAAAAGAAAAAAAAAGTAGTCCACAACAACCATCACCTGCACCAAGAAAAGATACCACAGCATGTCTCCATGTGAAAAGACACTGTCAGTGCTGAACAGCTCAGAGATCTCCCCCATCCCAAAAACTCAGGCTTCAAAGCCCAAAGCTTGATGAAGACTTCACCTTCAAATCCTTCCGAGGATTATCTTTCCTCACACAGATAAAGGAGATTAACAGCATTTGAGAGACAGAGACCACAGCTATGTTTTTCAGAGACAGACTAATTTCTGTGATGCTCACCTCAATCAAGCATACCTTGCTATGGTTTCTGCAACCTGGTGTTCACGGTACAGCAACAACTGCTCTGTTCTATAGCCATCATTTGGGACTCCTTCACAATGTGAAGTTTTTATTCTGTTGGGGATAATGCAAAAAGTTTGCCTCCTCTCTAAGAAACGAAAATCTTCCATGCCAGGAAGATGTATGCCAGGATAATAACATGCCTCGCAAGACAGCAGGCTGCAGCTTGAGGCACCACCCATACCCCAGAACACAGCCCACTGTTGTAAAATAATTCTAATAATGTACCAGTGGTGGTGTCATAACTAATATACATTAATACTAAGCAGCTACCAAAGCATCACACCTATGTTTATTGATCTATGTTGTTGTGGTTTAACCCACCCCAGTTGGCAACTAAGCACCACACAGCTGCTTGCTCACTCACCCCCCAGTGGGATGGGGGAGAGAATCAGAAGGGTGAAAGTGAGAAAACTCGTGGGTTGAGATAAAGACAGTTTAATAGGTAAAGCAAAAGCCACACACGCAAGCAAAGCAAAACATGGAATTCATTCACTAATTCCCATCGGCAGGCAGGTGTTCAGCCATCTCCAGGAAAGCAGGGCTCCATCACGCATAACAGTTACTTGGGAAGACAAATGCCATCACTCTAAACACCTCCCCCTTCCTTCTTCTTCCCTCAGCTTTATATGCTGAGCATGATGTCATATGGTATGGAATAACCCTTTGGCCAGCTAGGGTCAGCTGTCCTGGCTGTGCCACCTCCCAGCTTCTTGTGTATCTCCAGCCTTCTCAGCCGGTAGAGCATGAGAAGCTGAAGTGTCCTTGACTTAGTGTAAGCACTACTTAGTGTGTTAAGCACATCATGCAAGCACATCAGTGTGTTATCAACATTCTTCTCATACTAAATCCAAAACACAGCACTAGGAAGAAATTTAACTCTATCCCATCCAAAACCAGGATAGTATCCACCTCTTATTCTATATCGTCTACATCATGCCTAGGTCTCACATTTTCCAATACATTCCACCACTTTTCTTGTCTTTTGATATATACACACCGATATCATTCCCTTAGTCTATGGGCCATCCCTCTAAAATGTCCATTTAGTCCATGACTTTGGGCAGGAGAGATGATGTGTGGTGTTGGATTGTTGCATCCTGAAGCCAGTTCTGATTCCATTATTGCTGCGCTCGTCCGGTTCTATCATCGTTGCACTTTGCTCGGTTTCATCGGAGTTCATTCTTCATTAATCTGGGTGATTCT